TATCTCGCTGTGCCGTTTCTTAAACCATGCCTGCAGTTCCGGTATGAATCGATGTGTCCATCTGTCTATCTTTGGTCACCTTACTCCAACGGCCAACATATTTCTCTACCAAAAGAAATTTCGTTCGCCCGCATCTTTTGAAACTCGGCTCTAAAGATACCTTTCTGAACCCGCAAGTCCATTAGAATATTGCTAGCGATGATCAATGCCAAGTCTTCTGACGCTGATCTGCGACATGCGGTGCAAACTCCTAAAGTACAGAATCGACATGTTGCTTTAATGCCTCTTGAATATAATGATACCTTTCTTTTTCCAAATAGGGGAACCCTAAATTATAGTTGCTACCATCTTAGTCATCAGTTTTCTGCAGCCATACCTAGTGTCTCTCGTGTTTGGTACCAGTCGCGCTTACGCCTTTGTTGCCTGCGCTGCGCCTTCACTCATGCATTGCAGATGCTTTTTATATGTTAGTCTTCAATCGACCGTGATTTCCAGATATTTGCTATCATCTTGGAAGCCTATACAAGCATCACCCACTTTAAATCTTATCTTTGGCAACTTTGTTTTTTGAGGTTATTAGCACATATTCCAAGTGCTAAACCGCGCACTGATGGCTAATAATATCTCTTCCGCTGAAGCCACGCCACCCAAGTCTTTAAGTTCAATCCACACCTCCCTAGTCATCAGTTTGACGCCGGCACGCTGGCCGAGCGCTTTTTCTATCGGTTGTTTGCAATCATTGTTTTCCTCTTACACATTGCTGGAATTCCAGCCACCTATGCCCTTTAAGCGATCTTCGTAACCTTTTCGACGACTTTTTGCAGCCCAACATCATTTTTGACCCTTTTAGGATTTTGCTGTAAATTAACTGGCGCGCTTGATTGACAATATTTGGACCCGGTTTACTCGCCAATTTAATTGGTTTGCCCTTTAAATTTGGCCTTTGAAAGTACGGTCTAACTCTCCTTAGGGTGCTTTGGGGCGTTTTTCTCGAAGTACAGACCTTCACTTCTCTGAATGTTTTTTTTTGCAGGGATTAAGTCCACTATGGGCTTCCACTCCCCCCTCTCCACCCGCTGTCTTTATAGGCGCGTAATTCTTGGAGCACTTTCCTTATGAACTCGTCAATGTCGCTCAACGCTTCGTTACTACCAATTGACATCTGCATTATCTAACTGGGTTTTCATGGGGTCTACCATACTCAAACGTTTTGCAATGAAATATAACGTGCTCTGCATTTTCTTCTCTTTTCGCGCAGTCCAGGCACATTGACGAGCTATCGTGTCCGAACCCGTACAAATACTTCTGGACGCAGCCATGACTAGTCAGAAGCTGGGTGAGATAATAAGTCTCCGCATCCTGTGGCTTGTCGATACATCGCATTATGTTTGCGATAAAGACGAAGGTCTGTCTTTCTTTTGTTGTTTTTTCCCATTGCGAATGCCAAATACTTATCGACACTAATCGCCGATCTTTCTTCACGACTTTTTGAGAGCGATTGTTGTTGCAACGCCGTTCGTGTATGCGCCTCGTTTCATCTGCCAAAATATCGATTGGAATGATCCCTCCGAATACAAAGACGGAGTCTTCGAACACTTTTCGGAATCCGCATGTCTGCCATAGAACGATAAACGATTTATTGCCACCAACTTTCAGTACGTTGACTTTACGGTGAATGCACTCGCCCAAACTGATCTCGCACGTGGACTGCGGTCCCTTCCTTCTAGCTTTCAAGCAATCCTTCCTAAGCGAATGTATTTACTTATCCCACCAATAACACAGATTTTCTCTATCGCTTTTAATGGATCGTTTCGGCATAGCTGCGTCGCACGCGTCAATGAAAATCTCATTCCTTCTTTGATTTCCTTTAAACGCATTACTAAATTCAAGATGCCTTCGTCAAACGATGAGCGATTCCTTTTCGGGCCCGTGGATTCGGGTTTTCTATGACCCTCCGTGTGCGTGTGTGTAGGTGTACATATTTCACACTCATGTTTAATGCACTAGCATTTGGGAAAAAGCAAACGGCACGAACACTATTCCTTAGACCCCTTAATTTATTGTTTTTTTCATCTCTACCTGCTCCATCGTCGCACCTAGTAGTTACCCGTTTCCCAGACTTCGTTCGTTCTCACTTGCTTTCACTAGCGCTACGATTCAAAAGACCACAAGAGAATAGAGCTTTAAAAGGCAATGAATGAATGCACCTCGAACTCAACTCGAGCTCAACGTATTTTCAAGAACTAAACAATTCTATAGCTGAGAGGAATCAACAGTTTCGCTGTAAACCTAATATCATCTTTTTTTCTTTCTTATTTACTTTTGTTAGTCGACGCGCTTGCTTTATTTGCTTTTTTTATTTACTTTCTTTTGCCTATTGCGTTTGATAATGTGTTTTGGTTAAAATAAAAAAAAAAAAGCAGGAACGTGCCGGTCTTTTAAAGCTGCAGTGCAAAACATTATTCGTCTCTCATCGTTTCCTCTACACTGCAGCCAACTTTTTAATAAAAAATGCAAAAAAACATCCGATTTAGTTGAAACAAAACAAAAAAGACAAAGACCGTAACAAAAATCTGCATTAATCAACAACAACTGCTATAACGTTGGCAACAACGGCATCGTAACAGCAAGCGTCAACTTTTATAATTTTTCAAGTCAATTCTTGTCCTACGTACGTATAATGATTTATATTCAAAAAACGGCATTTTTCTTCTTTTTTTTTTTGGTTTAGTACATTCTTTTTGCTTCTTTTTTTTTTTGCTGAAAACCAGCGAAAAACAAAAAATCAAGGTGAAATCCTTAACGAATAAAAGGAAGGGATATCATATTCAATTTGGATCAAAGCGTAAGCTAGAGCGCTATATAATCGCCCTTAACTCTACAATGCTATATGTAGAAGTATAATGTGGCCTATGAATGCCTTTCAGATACTAAAGAAAAGAAGAAGAAGGAATTAGGGAGATAACGAACACTTGTTGTTAAATTTGATATTGTCTTCCGGATCATTCGATCTAAACTTGTTTATTCAAATGATTTAAATCAATGTTGTTTGTATGAAATTCTATATAAGACTCTTTTTGTGAATCTTCACAACCGGCCATTTTGTACAACTTTATTACTCTTCCGACGTTTAAGTAAATTTTTAGAAGCTTCGAAACATTTTCACTTTAACTAACGTTTGAAACACTGTTAGGACGTAACAAAAAGTACAAACACTTATGATTACGGCTGGAAGATCTGGGTATAAAATGTCAGTTGTTCAACCGTCATATCTCTTTAGAATTACCACGGTCGCGAAACTTGAGATAAAAAGCGAGAGGGATGAAGATAAGGAACTGCAACTTGAACCATGTAGAAGGTATGCATTTCAAATTTGGCCTGATTCGAAATGCATTACAGGAGAGTTTATTATTAGCTACCCCCTACGCCCTTGATCATCGTAATATTTTTCTTCCAGTTTTATCCCAAGGTGGTCTTAATCTACTTACTCCTGCATTAATCAACGCCTCTACACTGATTTTACGATCATCACTCTTCTCACAATAGCATTAACGCCTCTGTTCTTTACGCTCGTCAATCCCAAACTAGACTTATTTCATTCCGGAGATTGCTGGACTGCACGTTCAAGGACTACCATAACTACTACTTTTTTTTTGTAATATCGATATACGCCTATATATCATTTTGTGTTCATGTAATACAGACGTTTGCTATTTAGTGTAGACTTAAAGCACATCTCCCACAACATTGTCGATAATATGACATGCGTTTAGAGTGTTTAATCATATAAAGTTTAACAATATTCTATATTAGCAGAGTAATTGGGATTAAGTCCATGCTAATCAGTATGCAGTAACATTATTAAGATGAACGACAAAGCAATGATTTGTGATTTGTAAGCAGCTAACAAGATAAGGTACTTATTTTGCATAAAAGAAGGCAAAGTACATGAATTGAATTCAATTCAATTTCAATTTCTTCATTATCTACTTATCGGGGATATATATAGAACTAGACATTGTTTATTTAAAGATAACAGTACTATAGTTCTATAACAATCTCTCAGCACTAATTGCAAAGAGATACAAACGGCAACTTTATCTTGGTTTAGGGATTCAAGAATCCCAGCAAGATCCAATCCGAAACAATTTTATAGTTTCTGTTAAGTTTTTTACACGGGACCTGTTAATGAGATATTCTCCCATTACCAATATATAATGTTGGTACGATTTTCTCGCCAGCTGCCGTGCATGGGGCAGTATTGGGCGAGAACGCGTACGCGTTTGTGCTTGTTAGGTGACGTGTCCATCTAATATGCAAATTTGTTGTAAGCGTAGCCGACACAATGGTTTGTTTATAGAAAAAAACAACGCATTACTTGCCTACTGGAGTCGTTTGTCACTTTTTTACATGATTCTTTATTCACACACTCCCCTAACGAAAAAATTCTCGTTTTAAAGAATATCTAAATCACCAACAGCTTATCGACGTGAACACTTCATTGTATATTTACTCCCTAGAACTGGAGATATATGGCAAATAGTGGGTCCAACTGCACACTCGGGCGAAAAGAGAAACGCTTTGAAAACATATAGCTTTTGATGAATGTAACATTCTGAGAGAATTCATCTATGTCTGCCTACTTATGGCATATTTTGGAAAGTTCATAGTCATGTTCAAGTGATCTGCTGAAAAAAACGTCTCTGAAAAGTGATTTTAATATATTGACAACATTAACTTACAATTTTCCAGCAGATATCAGTTTGAAAGTCAACAATAATATTTATAAGGACTAAACAACACATTAACATTTTGGATTGTCTCAAATATCCGCGATTAACCAAGAACCTTAAGATTGTTATGTATTTGTTGGCACTGATCAATTTTAATTCATTCATTCATATACAAATTCTTATAAATAAATAACTTTGTTAATTGTTCCATAGTTATCTAATTATGGCATGATTCCATTCTTTTTTCTTTGTCTCTTCTATTTAAAGTGCGGATGAGGGCTTTGACGGCACCTATGCTACCAATGTTGTAGTGCGTAATAACGGTTCTTGCTTATACGTTCCGCCCGGTATTTTTAAATCAACATGTAAAATCGATATCACCTGGTTTCCGTTTGATGACCAACGCTGTGAGATGAAGTTTGGTTCATGGACGTATGATGGCTTTCAGGTAAGCAAATAATTATTTTAAAGACCCCAAAAGCAATAATCCTCTAATTTTATTTTTCCATGTAGCTTAATTTTTAATTGTCAGCACTTGAATTTAATCATAAATCATACGTTCAACGTAAAGGACTAAAACGTCCATTAAAGTAGCATAAGGATCAATAGTTTAAAGCTTAAAGTTCGTTAATGAATCGAAAGCTCATATACTTATTTATCTACTCCAGTTACATTACCACGACTGTAGCACGACCGTGGCTCATAAATTCTCAATGCTTCAATTCGAACTTTAGAACTCACCTACATTTCATTCTAATTCCCAATCAACGCTAATTCAGTGATAAATATCACAGGCAATCTCTCTTTGTAAACAAGCAAATTAAACTAAAACATTTGAAGATTTCTTTAATTGTTGACGCACACTTCCAGTCATTGATATTGCATACCGTACGTATAAAAATAGTTTATTTACCTCTGATACGCTCACAACAATTCCACTATATTTAAGCACCGGGACATTTGCACTCCCTACTTTAGCCATATCTACTCACCTATCATTTGCCGTTGCGTGAATCACTTGTTACTGTCCTTCATCCGTACTTTTTAATGAATGAGTAAATCCAAAAAATCACCACAATATTAAAAAAAAGATAAGAGGAAAGACAACTACGAGCTGTAAGAATTTTCTTTTTTCACATTTAATTACATAGATGACGGGTAGGAAAAGTTTCATCTCACCTAGAATGAAAAACCGGTTCGCATAATATTTACAAGTTTTCAATTTTTGAGCTCATTTCTTTATCGCTTATTACAAGAGAGACGTCTACGTTGTTAATTCTTCATAGCTGTCGCGACATCTGATAAAAAATTGAATATTGAGTATTGTATTGAGTTTCATTTATTTTTTGTTTTGCTCTCAAGATGTTAGCAAAGCGCAGCTCAAGTGTTTAAATTTAAAGCAGAGCGAGAATGTTAAAAGAGTCAATATATATTAAAGCAAAACAAAGTTGCTTAAATGAGTTAAATTTACTTTTACAAGAGTATTTATTAATGGGATATGAAGTAATTATATTCCCCAAGGGGATGTTATTGCGAAAACATTTATAAAAAAATACATATCGCAGATAGCGTAACCTATATATTTTCTTGACAAAAATAAATAGCGAAATTCATGTAGACATATACGGTTATCTGCGTTACGTGATAGCTTTCTCTGAAAATACCAATATTTAGTTGCAACTTTTCCCTTTTCGCTATCGTCAGCATCCATTCGTCAGCATTCATCCGTCAGCTCAATGAGTGGATAGTCCTTGCGTTTTTTTTTTTTTTTCCCCCTTTTTTTTATGTGCTATTCCGTATTGCTTTTCGGATAAGTTTTGCAGGCTTCTTAAATAATATATGTTATTCATATGAAAATATGCATGTTCCACTATGGATATGTTAGCAAATCTACCCCGGAGAGCATATTAGATTGATGAAATGTTTGCAGCGCTTAAAAATCAACTTTGGAGATCAGTGGGAGCAACGCTTCTTAATCGCCTATTTGTTGAAAGCACAACTACCGTTTTGAAGCTCAATTTACAAGGTTACATATATAAAGTTAAATTCTTCATTCTTTCTCCCATAGTTTTGTAAAATTTTCCAACGCTATTTTGTATGCTCTTTAGATATTGAGCATTAATTGAGTTAGCCTTCCGATACGTTCTAATATGTTCTGCTAAATTCTGTTACTTCTCAAGTATGCATACAGTGTGTGTGTGTGTGTATACAGTTATTAGGTGTATTTGTTTAGATATCCGACATATATTTTTTTTTTTTAACATTGCTTCACAAGATTTCACGTTAAATAGGTGGAGAAGAATGCTTCGTTATCATGCTACGTTTGTAGTAGTTCCTAAGTTCCTGAGTAGTTCTTAAGAGATAAAAGGTAAGGGATTGCTCCTTAATACAAAGATCTGACTACAAACGATAAATCATTTCTATGCTGTTCAAGTTATTTTGCGTGTTTAACGTAGCGCTATAAATTCATTTGAAAATGCATTTTTAAATTAGTTATCAAAATGGAGTAAATTAAAAATGAAAAATTTTAGAAAATATCCCTAAAAGCATTTTATTTGTTAAAATAATAGCATAGCTTCAAAATGTGCTAAAAAAAAACCTTTTATCAAATAAACTTAATTGGTGGACTTATTTCCTTTGAATAAATGATTTTGTAATATTTAATGTTACTTTTTATGAAATTTTTAATAAATTCACTATTATAATAAATGGCGAACTCCGTTACTAGCAAATCCGCTTATATAAAAAACTAAATGTGAAAGAATTATACTAATTTCACAAATGCGGTCGCTTTTCAATTGTTTATTAAATAAACCGCAAACATATTAAAAAACATTTTTTTTTGCATTTTTTTTTTTTTAATCAGTGCTTATGCAAATTTGCACTTTATTAGCTAATTGAGATTATTTTTATAGTCATCAAAAAGGATTTGTCGAGCTGTTAAATATATAAGATGCATAGTATTAGAAATCGAAGCCTACTTAAGTTGTTTAGGTATACATGTAAATATTTACTTGTATATACATCATATCACTCAATAAGTCTCCGGTCTAAATTGTCCTTTTCTTAAAATTTCATTAATTTCAAACGCACTTTTACTGCTACGTAACATTTACTGTTAATCCTTTATCCCCTTTGAAGATAGTCGATGAATAATATACCAAGCGCATCAGAAAATACTTTTCTATCTCCCAAAACAATTTTGTGACCTTGCTTATGTTTAGGAATTTGCTCGAGCGGAACGTTCAACTTCCTCAGTGTCCAAGCCATTATATTTACAATTAGCAAATCACCATGAACTTATTTTTTCGACAGGCAGGAATCGCTGTGACATCTTTCAAGCTAACGTTAACGGTGTACGTATTTTTCTTATCAAAAAACTACGTCTTTAATCAACTCACGAAATTTAAATTTTCCCATTGTTTTGAAAATTACAAAAGCAGTGGCACTAAAGTAACCGCAACCTGTGAAGTAACTGTCAGAAAGTCATGAAATTTTGCCACATATGTTTCAGCCCGGAAACTTATTGAGTGTTGTGTTACATAAAGCTGGGTGTGTTGTATCATGGTTTTTTTTTAGCAAAGTTAAAACTTCACTGAATAAAGTTACCAGCAATAAATAAATAGCTGATACAATTGGGACAACAAGGGGATCAACATGCCAAGAGCCAATGGCTTCAGTACGAAGGAAGGAAATTTATGTAGAAAAACTCGATTAAAAATATATGCAGTACTGATGTGGAATTTCGCATCCTCCTCGTGGTTATGAGCAGATAATGCTCTTTCGGATTAACAGAGATTTCAATGCAGGACTTATTGTTTGCTCCATTCTTACGACGACACCCACATATGGGCTATTTTATGGATAGCCTTAAAAGTGTTGGTGTTCTGTCCGCACTGGATACCTATTATTTCGAAAAGAAAACTGGGGAATTGCCTCTCTTAATTTGACGATCAAACACCAGATGACGTTACTTATAAATGTTTATACCTTCTTCCGATATTCCAATTTTTCCTTGAATTAGCTAAACAGCTTCAACACCTCCGCGAAGCAAAACGAAAATACTAGGCACAGGAATTTTGGAATTGTGATACACAATTCATTACATATTTTATTTGATTTTACATAAATTGGGAAAATAGTATAAGTTCCGTTTTCATTTCGATTATAACTTTTTCAACTTTTCAAAAGATAATCAATAATATCAGCAATCAGTGTCTTTCGAACTTAAGCCTATCTTGGAGCTATTTGTGGAATTAAAAAATATTAATGAATAATAATTTGAACTTGATAAGTTAATGTTATATTTTAACTAATTTTTTAGAAAAATAAGAAATTTAAAATTTCATTCATTATTTTAATTTGACGTAACAATAACTGCAACAATATACTAGAATTCATTTATCGCAATCAATATATTTAAAGGTTCAGAGTCATACCGATAATACAGACAACGTCTTTCTGATTTTAAATTCAAATTCAGTTCAATCTTTCATTTTTAAAGCAAAGCAAAATAAAATCCTCTATAGATATTTCTTACTTATAAACGCGTTAGACTACGTCCGACACTTTATTGAAAAATCGCATATAAATGTGAGAGTAAATGGAAGGAAAAGTAAAATTTATTACATATTACACGTTAACTAGACGATGTACGTAGATGCACATACATAAATACACATATGTATATGAAACCATATTTTTCAATCTCCCTGGACAGTAACTTTTTCCCTTGATTAATAAAATAAGATTTGTTTAACTCTCAGAGATGAATTACATTTAATATTCGTGGTTCCTGCCGCGGTGCAATATTATAAATCAAATAATAGCGGATACACTGATAGTGGAAATCCGTTATTGACCATCAACAACATACCCACGCAAATATACATGAATAGCAAATACGAGTTTTATTTTAAGGCGAATAATTCGCACGCATTTCTGCATATTGCATGAATTTTGATAGGTAAATAAAAATCAGAAAAAATGTTAAAAATTAAAAATTTATTTTACCAAACAGGTAGTTTTTCATATATCGCGGATAACGAATAAGCAGAGAGGCCGAACTAAACAGAGATAGTTTGATTTTCCTGGAAACAAAATTATATTGAAATCTTTGAAAATTGGCTTTTGGTTGATTATTATTTTCTTTTTACATATATAATTCTATATTGTCGTTTAGTTTAAAGCTCTAAATAGACCCTACCTATTGGGAAGACTGAACTTATAAACACGTTTATCAGCTTCAGTTTCTGACTAATTTAATCATAATTATCTGTCGGAAAGACACTATGATCGGCCACAGCCGACCGGTAAATACTCAACACCACCCTACCAACAGTTGTTCATATAATGACTTTTCAAAATGGGCATTTATATGGGAAATGGTTGAAATAGTGGCCCAATCCGAACAATCTTCAATAGTTTTCGTCCTTTAATCAAGGCACT